GAAGGAAAAAACAAAGCAATTACTATTTTCAATTTCGACGAAAATTTTTTCTGGATCAAATATGAAAGAAACATTACAATATGTTGCTGAAAAAATCTATCATAGATTACCATGTGAAAGAATCGTTATTATTTCAAATAAACAATCTAAATTTGAGAGGAATAATATAATTGCTTTATATGAAAGCTCGGAAAATTCACTTATGAAAATTCGTGATGATGACGAGAGTCAATTACTAACATTTACTAATTCAAAAGAATTTTTAAATAATAGATTAGGAATAGATATTCATTTGGATATATACTGCGATAATGTATGTAAAAATGTATCCATATTATCTATAGAAATAAGGCTAAATGATGGTTGTTGGGGATGGATAAAAATATATAGATCTCCAAATTCTATTTGGTTCGACTCTGAAATTGAATTTTTACAACAAATCTCAAATCAAATAAGTTTATCAATTACTTATATAGATTTATTAGAAGAGAATTTTGAAAAGATGATTCAAATTAAAGCATCTGAGTTTGCAAATAATACTAAGAGCCAGATTTTAGCAAATACATCTCATGGTATATTATTTTTTTGCGTACATTCCTGAAATTTTCTTTATGATATTGATTAATTTGAATTTCATAGAATTAAGAACACCATTAGGTGCAATAATAGGAATTCTTTCTTCTTTCGAGGGTGCTAACTTGACTACTGATCAAAAGGACATGATTAGTATCATGGCACGTGCTTCTGATGCAGTATTATCGAAAGCAAATGATATTCTTGATGCAGCAAAATTAGAAGCACAAAAAATCACACTCGTAAATAGAACATTTGATTTATTAGAATTATTTGATGATACTGTCGAAAAATTTGGAGAAAGTACAGGAAATAAAAAAATTGAATTGATTGTAAATTATGATTTTGATAAGTTGCCGAGATATGTTAAGAGTGATCCTGAGAGGTGATTAAAACTATTCAACTTATAAAATAAATAAATACATACTTATCTTGTCTTTTTTATAATAAACAGGCTAAAACAAGTTTTATTCCATTTATTATCAAATTCGTAATTATGTTTGCATAATTATTTTTATGTTTATTTTTTTTATAAACTAGTAATTCATTATTAATTGTTATAGGGTCAAATTTACAGACAAAGGTGAAATCGTGTTGACAGTATCATTGTTATCGAAAGAAGATATAGAAAAAAACATAATGAGTTCGACTTATGGTCAAATGAATAAAAAGGGGATTCTGTTAATTGAATTATATGACACTGGTATTGGGTGAGCTACTTATGATTGTATATTTAAAGTTTTAGCATGTAAATTATCTAATTATTCATTTAATAATAATAGCATGAATCCTGAATTTATACAACATGCCTGGAAAAGTTTTTCACGAGGTGACATGTCAATAACCAGAAAACAAGAGGGTACAGGACTTGGTCTCTCAATTTGTAAAAGTTTAGTAGAAATTAATGGAGGAGAAATTAAAGCAGAAAGTCAGTTAGGAGAAGGAAGTAAATTTTGGTTTACATGGAATATTGAACTATTTTCATCGATGACACCAACTATTTCAAAACTTCCAACTTCTCCGTTATTCGAAACACAATTTGATAAGCAAATAAAC